GGCCGAGCCAGGAGAAGAATTCTTTCCAGATTCCTCTGCCTGGARCTTCAGCGCCCTCATCCAGCAGTCCCTGTGCATCCTGACTCTGCAGGTGACAGCCAGGGCAGTGTGGCTTCTCTCCATGGAGCTAACATTTCACTCTATCTCAACACATTCTTTGAGGACTTCATGGGCTCTGTGACCTTTTGTTGCGTTCTGTCTCCTGAAATACATGACTTACACCCTAAAGGTGCAGATTCCTCCTGTGTCCCKAAGCCTTGGGTCAGGATCACTGACCACCTTGAGTTAAAGGGGCAAGTACTACCTCACTTGACACCAACTTGTGCAGAGGAAAGGCACCTCCCAAAGCTCTAAGATTCCTCTGGCATTCCCTTCTGGCTTGTCACCACAGATACAGGAAAGACAGTGTGAGATGGCTGACGACACATGCCCCCGAGTGGAGGGCAGAGACTGCAGGACTGTGCCTGTTCTCCTTCCAGAAGGCTGTCCTGGAGAGACACGGGGAAACTGCAGGTGGCTCTTTTATGGATGTCCCAAGCCCTCCTCACTTGCCCTTCCCCTGAAGCTGTGCCACTCATCCCACGGGCCTCCCTCACCTTCACTAAACCTAAGAGCCAATGTCAACATCCACCTCCTGTGGATGCATGCCCCGTCTGCAGGATGCGAGCTCTCAATCCYTTCCCTACCCCATATCTCATGTCCCTCCACCCCAGGGAGCAGACCACACAGACATGGCTTCCACCTGGACCTGTATCCCTGAAAGGCTGGGAGGGAGCTCACAAAGAACTCAAGGAGCAGAGAGGGCCTTCAGGGAGGCTCGCTGGTGAACCTAAAGAAACAAGAAAAGATCCGTCGCTCTGTTCAAGAACAGTACGAAGAACACAAGAACAAGGAAGAACTCGGAGACTCCTTCCAACCCTGGTTCCATGCTCTTTCACTGAAGTTGGACCATTCGAAACAGATCTCAGTTGGGAAGGCTACAAGTGAGGGTGGTGACCCAGTTCTGGACTGGGGGAGTGGGGAGCGTGAGGGGAGGTGGTGGTGGCTGATGGCGAGAACATGGATCCAAGCCCCTTGGCAACATTGAAAATATGGAGCCCCTTCTCTTCCTGGTCCCCGTGCTATCCTTCGGACGGCTGTGCTGGGCCGAGCCGTTGGAGACCCTGTAATATCAACTCAACAATGCATGTTCTACAACTACAGCTACAGCTACCGGTACATCGACTACAGTGCATGCATTTAGTCAGTCCCACAGATACATACAATCTAAGAACAGGCAGGGAGGTGTGAAATGTTTTACTGGACAACAGGTGTTTTGGAGTTGTAACTAATAAAAAAAAAAAATCGAAAACGAAATTGTACAAAAAAAGACATTTCTCGAGAGTTGGATATGAGTTTGTTTCTTGAACTGTTTCATCTGAACAAGCAAAAACATGCAAACCAGCTGGTACTAACAGGAAGCTGGACACTGAGAGAGGATTAATAGGTGTGGACAAACCTTCCCGCTGAGCGTGCTCAGAAGAGTGTTTGAGAGGAGGTGTGCAGATCCTAGTGTAAGAGAGGCGGGAAAGTATGCCTCAGAGACACTCTCTCACCGCAGCCCCAACCAAGCAAGAGAAAAGACAACAGAAACATGACTTCTCACACTCACCACCAGCATCGGGAGCTCACGTAACTAGATTGGGATAAACTGGCAAGTATAAAGTACAGTAAGGGGTCCTGGCTGGGGCTGGAGATGGGGTTGGGGGGGCATGCCAGGGGGCTCAGCAGCTCTAAGATTGATACGTGGGCCCACCCATAATGTCACCCTGAAATAAAGTAGCCCGAAAATCTGAACCACTTCCCTCACATTGGGCGGGGGCGGGGGGGGGGGGGAGTCGTTTACCAAACTGGATTTCGGATTGGGTGGGACATGATGGGGCCACTGGAACTGAATGAATACGATCAAAATAAACAAACAAACTCTTGACTGAGCACAAGAAAAGATGATATTTCAAACTACCAGGTGAAGGTGAAAGAAAAGTGACCACTGATAGTGAAGTTATCTAGGAGTCGGCAGGGACCTCCCTGGGGGTGGGGTCGCCCGAGCCCTGCGCACCTCACGTTCTGGAGGAATTAGGCAAAGGTGGGCAGGTCCGCCCAGAGGAGTGGGCTGAGGTAGGTGCAGAGCTCAGGGCCCCCCGGACCTCCTACCCTGACACCACAGCCCTGACAGAGACAAGTTGCCACCCGGAGCCAAAACAAAGCTGCCTCCCACCCCACAGCCCTTCCCGCCTCAGGAAGGGCCCCCAGGAAGTCAGAGTGGAAGGGGGACACAAACCAAACGGTGGAGCTAGAGAAAAATGAAAAACAGAACCAAACAAAAGGGGCCTTCTGCAGGAGGCCCAGTCCCTCAACCAAGCTCCCTGGGGAGCAGAGGCCACACTTGCTACTGTTTGAAGTCACCTGCTAGGTTAGCATGGTACCAAGCTCCAGGGAGGCAGTCAGTGGACTCTCTCTGAACAGGCACCGAGTTTGTGATGACCTCTCATCATCAGGCCGCTTGCTCAGGAGGCTGAAGGAGCATCCGGGTCCCCTGGGGAGGAGTTGGGACGTGTGGGGCAGGGCCACAGGAGTTGGTGCAGGTGGAACTGGGTCAACAGCATGCAGTGAGCCCTTCGGGGCCTGGACTGATGCCACCACCTACCCCAGAGAGTCTGTGTGGCCTCCTCTCAATTCATAGCAGAGAGCTTTTGCCACTCACAGGTAAGTAACTTGCTAATAATGCGAGGTTTGAAGTCCAGGCCACTTTCCAGAGGCAAGAAGGTGACAGCTCCCCTATGGTCAAAATGTGTTAAAAGAAAGAGAAGGGCAGAGGCCTTTCTTCCCCAGCTTGGTTACCCTGCTCCAGGTCCACAGGTGCGGCTGGAGGCTGGGGTAGGTACCCTGTCTACGTACAAGCAGGTCAGCCCAGGTTCTGACCACAGCAGGGAGTCTAGCCACTGCCCGGGGCACACCCCAAGTCCATAACCCCCAGGCAGTGCTGGGGACTTCCCCATAGCTTCTTGGGCAAGCCTGCACCCTGGGGGTGGGCATCTTGAGTTGAGGATTTACCCCTTGCACTAACTCAGGCTGGGGTGGGGCAGGTGGTCTGGGAGCACACTCCTGAATACAATTCACTAGCAGTGCAGCGATGAGCATGGCTGACCTTGAACGGCCTGTGGGAGATTGCGCTCCCAATGGAAATGGCTACAAATAAAACACCATTGATCCTGGAAAAAAAAATGTGTGGTTGGAAATGACCTTGGAGGGTTAGGAGTTAGAGGATGGGTGGGACTCCCGCCTGGCTCTGGGGTCTGTGAGAGGGTGGGGGTGACAGAAGGGGGTACAGACTGTGGGGGAGACCGCTCTCAGACTCACAAAGAACCCCATGCTGCCCTTTAAACTTGCCATGAAGTCAAGGAGAACAGGGTGGGGTGGGGAGAGAGGCAGGGTTAATTTTGGGTTAAAGTTTAGTTTCATAATCCAAGTTACAAAAAAAGAAAGAAACTGAACGAGGAAACAACAACCAACAACACTCAAAAACCTCAAGATGGTTCTTGTTATCTTTCCCCCATCCCAGGCACAGGGAGGACCGAGGCTTTTTWTTTTTTWAATGATATCAAAAAGCACTCAAGTTTAAAAACCAAACGGAACAGGGAGACACGATGCAGCTGTGCACCCCGCCCCCGGGGCCCGGGGTTGGGGTGGGGTGGGGGGACGAAGGGACACTGGCCAGAGGCAGGTGGGGCCTTTGGAGACCTGCTAGGTCAGATGGGAGTGGAGGGTGCCYGGCTCTCTGGACCTGCCTGCCCACTTGCTGCTTGCCAGCTCTCTTACAAATGCGCCTCAGCAGCCCCCCGAGAATTCCTGGGCCCCCTCCAACRAAAGCCCAGCGGATGATTCGGGGGAGTGGATCCTTTGTAGCTCCRAGGCAGTGCCAGTTTGCATGGAACGGATTTTTACTGATGTTTTTCTAATGGCCTCACTGTGCCAGTTYCTCATCACCCAGGGTTTGGGTTCTTGGCATTTGCCCTCCAGGCTTTTAACGCTCCATTTCCTGGTCCCCTTGCAGCACCCGTGCCCTGCCCACCCCGCCCTCCTCAGAGCCCAGTTACATCCAACTACAGCGCTTCCCCGTGCTCGGGTGCTCTGCCTAGGGAGAGGGGACCGGGAGCCAGCTGCAGACCATGGCTACTCAGTTTAGGGAGGAGCAGGGTGGTGGAGGGAGGCTGGGGACAGTGGCTACAAGGGATCCCAGCACAGGGCAGAAGCCCTGGCACCTTAGGAAGGCAGAGGGCACTGGGCAGGGGGACCTCTGGTCTGATCCCATAGAGCCACTGGGAAACTGTTCCCACATCACTTGCAGGACTCTGGATCTCTTAAAAGGGTTGAATTTAGAGACTGAAGGGTTGGGGCAGAGAAGGCCTCCATTCCCTTGGCGGCTGGGAGCCCAGGGAGCTTGCTGAGAAGAGTCTGGGGGTAGCAGGGCTCCAGCAAACAGCAGCTCCATTCCTTCACCAAGTTCAAGGGTTGGCCCTGCATCRGCCTTCGGGGGACCTGGGGGTTTAGCCAGAGCAGTAAGCCCACTTACTGAGTGCAGCAGGGGCCCAGAGGCCAACCCTGTACCTCCCTGGCAGGGTCAGAGGCCCAAGGAAGCCAAGGAGGTTAGTAAAGCCCACAGGTGCCCAGAAGCCAGTCCTTAGGTGAAGGAGGTCCACAGTCAAAAGGAAGCTCAGTTTTCCTTTGCCAAAGGGAGCATAACAGTCTACCTTCGGTGCAGTTTCGTGACTGTGACTGAACCCTGGTGGGAGCTGCCCTGGGTGGCCAGGCTCACCCATGCCTCCCTGTCCCCACCCCCTCCCCGGGCCGTGGTGAGGGGCATGTTGGACAGACGCAGCCACACAGATCCAACAGGGCCTTTACCTTCCCCCTGCACACTGGGCATGCCTGGGAGCCGCCTGTCCCGTACACCTTCCTACCTGATCCTCGTGCCGCTGCCACTGCCGCTGCCGCCACTGGTCCGTAAGCTGCTGCCGGGAAGCCTGGAGAGAGGGAGGGGTCAGAGTCAGGAGGCGGCCCGGCAGGGCCCTGGGCAGACCCTCTCACAGGGCTGCCCGAATCCAGCTCGCACACAGGGGAGGGGTTTGTGGGCAGCTCTGGGGGAAAGGGGGACGGGCACAGGTCAGTGGCTCTCAGGCTTCTGGAAGGCACAACAGCTCTGGGTGTGTTCGATCCTCACTCGCTTCTCAACAGAGAAACTGGTCCTGGAGGGACACAACACCTCAAGGGGAGGAGGAGGAAGAGGAGGAGGAACTTTCTCTTGAGAACCTGGCTGAGCTGCCTACTGGCCCTGCACAGATACTTGGTGACCCCCTAGGGCCTGTCCAGAGCTGGCTAGGCATGGCTGGCCAGCCCGCTGCCTCTTGCAGGGATCCTAGCCGTGTGGTCAGCAGAAGCCACAGGCAGGAGGCACTTGGGACAGCCTTTTGACAGAACAGGGACTGTGGCCAGGAGACGGATTAACACCAGCTGTTCTCCAGAGGTTCAGCCACCTTAACTCTAGACTTGTCAAAACTTTATGTCAGCCGTGTCAGCCCCAGACCCRAAGGGTCCCAGGAGACTGTGAACACACGGAGCCAGATGTGGGGGCGCACGGGCTCTAGGTGAGATGAGCCCCGTGGCATGGTGTTTCACTCTTCCCAGGCAATTATGGGGACTTTGATGTGGCCCTTCTGTCTGAGCCCCAGGGTGAGATGAAGCTGGCTCCTTAGGGGGTCTCTGGAGTCCTTATTGGTCAAGGCTCACGTTATCTAAAAACACACTGGGCCACGGGAATAAGTGAGGAGGCTAAGGCACAGGCCTACAGAATGTCCAGGTGAAGGAAGCAGCAGGCCAGGTCCCCTCCCCTCAGCTCCTCTCTGTCACTAGCTTGTGCACGCACAGCCTCGCACTGGGATAGACAGAGCCACTCCCACACATAAAGACAAACTTCCTCTGCCCTTAAGCAGACACGTGGAGGCCTGACCCCAAGACCCATTTCCAATGGCTGTGGTTTTTTAATGAGGTGCCAGAAGCCAGCCACAAACTCGACAGACAGCCCCCAACAGAGCCACTCGACTTTAGCCACTGCGCCTTTCCAATAGGGGATTTCTACAGGAGAAGAGGGAGGAGGACATGCACCATTAAGGGCAGGGAGCAGAAGAGGAAAGAGGWGAGAGAGAGAGAGACACCCTCCAAACAGAGTGAACTAGGAGCCCACTAGACTCTAGGACTACTGTCCTAGCTACATGGTACTACTGAGGGGAAAGAAGTTCAAAAGGGAGAGAGCTACTCTAGAAAGGTCAGGCTAAGCTACTGAAAACGTCAATGAAAAGACACATACTTGCATTTAAATATGGTAATAGGGCTGTTGAAGGGGGAAAAAGAAAGATCCAGGTGAAATAAATGTTCACAGTTGTCCCAGGCTGGGAACAGCTCTCCCAGCTCCCATAAAGACTGTGTGACCCGCCTGGGGGCTTGCTCCCTTCCCCAGAGTCAGCAGGAAACCCAGGGGGGGGGGGAGCCCAGGATGGGACCCTCCTCCTCACACCTAGCCCTCCCCCCATGTATWCCAGGCAGGATCTGGATTTCTGAGGATGTGGATGCTGATGGAACATAAGTTAGAAGTCAAAAAGATTTTTCTCCTGGTCCCAACCCCAGTGTACCCGGGCGCCTGCTCGGGGCTCAGGGCACACGGGGAAGGGAGGTCAAGTTATTCTGCTGTTTCTTACCAGGACCTTGACACAGAACGTCTCCTTAGAAGTAAGAAAAGGTGGTGGTGGCCGGGGAATTGGGGTGTGGTCAATAAGAAGACTTATTAACAAAGGGCCTGTTTTCCAGAGTTGGGCACATTTTGGACAAAAAGTTTAAGGGGAAGAATTAAAAGCCATATTCAATAAATGAAATCCATCCTCCATAGTCTCAGACAAAGGCTTCTCTTGGAGCCTGGGCACCAGACACGACTGAGAGCTGGAATCTCCCCACAGCCATCCAAATGGAGGGTGAGCCAGACGCTGGGCGAGAAGGGACGGCGGCAGGTGAAGAGCCACCCTGCCTGCCCCTTGGCAGCACAGCCCGCAGCTCCACGGGCACCAYGCCACGCCACCCCAGCCCCCTCCTTCTGAGATGCCAGGACCACTGGCCCTGGACCACTACCCCCTGGGAATGGGAACCTCCTAGGGAGGAGACAGTGCCAGCCCAGCATCCTGCACCAAGCCACCCGCCTCCTGCCCCGTTAGGCCACCCAGCCTCACCGGTCACCCTTCGCCCCAGAGGTGCTCTTCCTGACCTGGCAGGTGGATTTATGGGAGCTGAGCAAGCCCAGATGCGGGAATGGTGCACTAGATATATGTTCAGTGAGTTGTGTGTGTGTTTATATGGGGGTGTGTGTTTTGTGTAGCTGGGTGTGTATGAGTGTGGGGTGGATGTGTGTCGGGGCCCTAGAGGTCAAGATACAGCATGGTGACTTCACCCTGAAGTGCGATGACAGGCACGGCTGGTCTCCAGGACAAGCCCTTTCTAGGAAGTCCTGGTGGAAATGATGCTCCTGGGCTGGCAGGGCAAGCTCCTCCCAGGCAGCCAGAAGAGGGCCGCCCTGGGAGGGGGCGGTCGGGGGAAGACTGCACTTGTGCAGGGTGGCAGGGATGTTGCAGAGGTCTGTGGCCCATGAGGGTCCACACTCACTGTAGCACCCTATGGCCTGGAGTAGGGAGGACCATCACACTCTGCTGCTGAGACTGGAGTGGGGGTCTGTCCCCCATACAACTTCTCCGGCCAAATCCATAATGGGGGCAACTGGGCTGCTCCTCATGGGGCAGGTGAGCACAATAAATAAGCACAGATTAGGAACCAAATAGGTTCAAATTCTGCCTCAGCCATCTACTGTGTGACTCTGGGCAGGTTGCTTAGTCTCTCTGTACTCAGATATGACGATTAGTGCAAGATTAACATATGCAAGATGCTCAGATGAAAGCCCAGGAGCAAATCTGCTTAAACAAGCATTAAGCTGAGGCTTATCAAATCTCTGTCCAGCCATCAGCTCCATCTTCAAGACAGGACTCTTCCCATGGCAGATGCCTTGCTCAGATGGCTGTAAGCACACAGGGGCCTGAGTTCCTGACTGGTAGCAGTGGCCTGGAATCCTTCACAATGTCCCAATGTCATAATGTCATTATGGTAGGACTAAATTTCCACAGCTCCACATGAGAGCACGTCTCCTGCTCAGCTCTCCCGATGACAACTGGGCCAGGCAGACCGGCAGGTGTAGACCCAACAGAGAGGAGGAAAACGTCTAGAAGGTCTAGAGCCATAGGCTGGCTACCTGCAACTCAGGAATGCAGATGGTTCCCCTTGTTTGTAACATGCCTGGGTACAAAAAAATGAGGTGCTCACGGTGGAATTTCAGGCATGGACAGGCTGTCTGGTTAATGGAGTCAGACCCAAAGACCTGTCTTGCTAGCCTGAAGCTCCTCTACCCTGCGAGTGGGATAACAGAAGGTGTCAAAGTCTGGCTGACCCCTGCTGCGCTGTGTGACTTGGACACAGTGCTTCACTTCTCTGGGCGCTGAGCAACTCCTCTCTGCTGCAATATAGTCTCTTCAGTCCTCGATAGTCCCTTCTATAGTCCCTTCACCTCAGGCCTTGCCCAGGTCTGTGTAAGAGGATGACAAGCCTCCATCCTGCAGGGCTGGGGGTTATCTGACGAGTGACATCGTGAGAGATGTGGCCATTTCACTCACAGCAAATGACACCCTTTGATGGACTCTATGGAGCTGTGATGTTTTACTGCTGATCAGAAGTCGATAGGCATTTTGGGGTTTCAGGTTCTTTTTTTTTTTTTTTTGAGAATTATATGATATAATACTTCTGCTATTTCTTTTTATTGCTTCTGTGCACTTGCCGGTTTTTGCCTTACCTAAGCACAGTTATTTTTATATGCATATTTTATTTCGCTTGCTGGGTGACAGACTCTTCTGGGGCAGGGACTCAGTCCCACGTCCCACTGAGGATCCAGCTCAGAGTCTGCCCCCAGAAGACTCTTCCTGACACCAGCCGGTCAGGCCGCACGGATGCAGGGAATGAGTCAGGGCTGGGAGTCGCTGCCGCTTGGGTCAAGGAGGCAGAAGGCAGCACCACCTGCAGGTCTGGCAGCCTCTGCTGCCCCAGGGTGGCCGGCTCAGACCTTCAAGAGTGGCCTGAGGGTGGTCAAGCCAGTGGAGGGTGCTAGGGCTATGGAAATGGGGCGCCCTGTCCCGCAGAGGCACGGATTCTCCCCCRTAAGCTGAGAACACAGGGAACCACCTGGGAGCAGCAGAAATGCTGATGGGGGAGGGTCAGGTTACGTGGTGCATCTGTGCAGTCTGTCACTACCTCCAGATGAGAGAGGAAGGGGCCTCCCGAGGGTACCATGGAGGATCTAATTCCTGCGACCTGTTTCCTCTGAGAGTCAGGGCAGAGGTCCCCATTCAGGGTCCCAGTCCTGCCTGGAAGATCTTCAACAACCCAGAAGCCCTGACCCCCCCCCAATGGACAGAATCAGGGGGGACCCAGGTCTTTCAAGGCCTTTCTGATGCCAGTGCAGGCAGAGAACCCCTGGCTGTGAGCACGCTCTGGGGGACTTGACTTCACACGAACACTGTCCTCTTGCGGGGGATTATTAGGTCACCAGGCTTTTTCTTTGTCTCCTCTCCCCTTTTTGGTATGACAAGACACTGGTCTGGGGGCCGGGGGTGGCTGCCTGGGGTCTGGTTCTGGCTCAGTCAATACTTATTTCCCCTGACTTGAGATGAGTCCGTAGACCCCTCGGTGCCCCTCTCAGAAAGAGGGGGYGAGAGAATTTTGTGGCTCCTTATGGCTCCCAGGGATGTGATTTTGAGGGGAATCTTTAAAAAAGTCCATTACAAACAATTTTTCTTATGCTGTGCTTGCTGAAAACACTCTCCRCCCCCTTCCTCCGGCACGCCCAGCATCTCCCACCAGCAATTTCTATAGATGGTTCAGACAT